AAAAAAAAAAAAAAAAAAAAAACAGACTCTGGTCAGAAGGTCAGGGGTAACAGGAGAAGCCGTAGTGTCTTCAGGGCTCATTCCAAGCCTAAATAAATTTGTTATTGCTCTGCTGGCATATTTTTAAGAGGTCTATTAGACTAGACAGTGTCCCTCCAAAGCCACACTCTTCCCATGCCCCAGGAGCCCCTGGCTACTGCTCCTGCCTAGTGGCCTCTCTCTTGCTCCCTATTTGGTCTTAAATGTGATATGGGTAGAATAGCATCCTAGAGTCCAGTGGGACCTGGCCAGGTCCCAGGCGTCTCCAGTGATTAGCAGCCCCAGTGCAGGGTAAGCCCTGGGTATCTGGGGACACATCGTCTGGGTCTGTAGTCCCTGCCAGCTTCAGTAGGACCTTCTGGGACAAGGAGGCTCCTGGCCATAAAGTGTAGAGGGAAGATGACATGGAGCCCAAACATAGCTGCCAGCATTCGGGATGAGCATTGGATGCAATCACAGCTTTCCCTGGAGCTGACAGATGAGTTCAGGCAGCCCAAGCTGCTAAGACGTAGCTGCCTAGCAGGCCTGGCACCGACAGAACAGCCGCAGGGAAAATGCCCTGGGATACAGTTTATTCAAACTAGCCTTCTCCCGAGCAATTCTGCTGTGTCAAAATGCCCTAAGTCCTGCAGTTATTTTTATTCCCAGCTGGGAAGGTAGAAAAGAGTATGAAAGAAAGAGATTTTTAAAGCTCCAGTACTGCCACGTGTGGATGTGCAGGTGATAACTGGAGTGCAGCTGGTATCTGGAGTGCAGGTGGCTACAGCCCCCTGCTTCGGTGCTCACGTTGCTGCTGCTGCTACAGCCATTCCCAAAGGCAACACGGCAGGAATGCCTCTGGGGAAATGAGTGAGAACATCTCCAAACTGCCCAGAGCCAGACACAGCCCAAAGGATTTAAAGCCTTTGTACAGCTTCCCACAAAGATCAACAGCTGCTTTCAGGGTTTCTGCCTTTCCACTGCACTTCTATGTCATTCTCTTTAGTAACAGGTAGTGCTTCAAATCATGAAAAACATGTGAACTGCTTTGGGCGAGGACAAATCCAGGCTTCTCATTTTGGTTCTGCTGTATTTTGAAACTTAGCTTTTCCCATTCCTTACATGGGAAACATCACCTCCTGCCACTGCTTCTACTGGCAAGGGACCTTTCCTTCGAGTCCCACAAAGCTCTGACACCACAGCAGGTTGCACAGCGCTGGAGGGTCACACTTGGCAGAAGAACCCCAACCCTCATGCAGGAGAGCAGGACTCAGGTACAGGGCAAGCAGGCAAGTCACTGTGAACCAGGGCAGTTGTCCCCAGCTTCTGTCCCCCAGAAAAGAGCCATCAGCTTCAGCATAGTTGGGAAGTTTTCTTATTTCTTGTTCGTGCTGGAAATCTCTGATCATCACAGATATGGTTTCCAGACCTTCACAGTAAATTCAAGGGAGTTTTAGTTACTTTCGCAAGTTCAAAGACTAGCGGAAGACAAGACTTTGAGTATCTGACCAAGCAGAGAGACAGGGAAAAAAAATTACACAGTTCTGTTCTTCCAAAGAACGAGAAACTTCAGGTCATTTTACCTGAGAGCTTTTTAAAAATACAGGGGTCAGTGCTCCTACAGAAATCTCATCTTTTTCGCCCAAAGCTTCACAAGGCTCCAGATCAGACCCTGGTCCTCAGCAGCCTACTGTACATCTCCTCTCCAGTCTGACCAGTACCTGACCAGTCTCTCTTGCAGAAAGGATGATTTTCTGGACCTCATTTTTAATAAATTCCCCTGACTGCTTCCATGATCTGTGCCTGAGATATGCAAGGGGCACTTGCCTGGGTAGATCTCATGATCTACCCCCCACAACCAGCAAGAAGCAGACAATGTAGACATTCCCTTCAAAAGCCTTGATAAATGAGTCTCCCAAGACCCTCGCACCTTGCAGGGTGAGGAGAAGCATCCAGGGTGACAATGGAGCTCCTGACACTTTCCCTGTGGCTCCCGGGGAGCCAAGAGCAGCAAGGACCTGGCTCCTGCACAGAGCATGTCCTTGGCATGTCCTTGGCCATGTGAAGCCCCTGTCAGCACAACCCTATGTCTCCCAAAGACACTTTTGCTGGCAAGGGGGCTTTTCACACCTTCCAGAAACATTTCTTTCAGGGCATGGAAAGGTAATTTTGCAGGGAGACATATGGCTCTGCTTCAGTTCCAGATGCAGCATCGAGGTTTCAAAACACATCTTTTTAGGTTCAAAGTTTGTTTTACAGAAATACTATGACTTGCTTTAATCGTTTGCCCCATCCAGGTCACTGAGGACATGCTGAGACACAGTGAATGTTTTATTCCACTTGCTCCAAACTACCCAATGGAGCTGCCTGCGCGTACCAGCACCGGTGTGAGCACCACATAAAAAGGGAGGCGGAAGGAGGAACAGGCAGGAAGGAAGGAGTGACAGAGAGGAAAAGAAAGAGTGATGCTGTGGTGCTCTGGAAGGAGAAGGAATAATGTATGAGAGCTCTAAAATATTAATCCTCCCAGATGTCAGCTGAGTTCCCCAGCAGAGCAGATGGGGGCTTGGGGGATGAAAGGTAGTGAGGATGTGTCCAGGCAGCACGCTGCTGCCCAGAGAAAGAAATGAGCCTGTGCATAAACATCTTTACTCTCGCCTTGGGTCAAGCTGACTCTGACAAAGAAATGCAGTCTTTTCAGCCCAAATCTGAGGAACATAGACAGCATCCTTGAGGCTAAGCTCACTTACTGGATTAGGCGTGAAAATCTCTGCTGAGGTAATACAGCCATCCACCAAGACAGAAGATCCTATCTTGAAAAAAACTGTGGGACATATAGGAAGAAAACTAGCTACACTGTACAGCTGACCCTGCTTGTGCTAAATTCCTGTCCAAGAAGAGAAGGTGACTGGGTTACAGACCAAAACCCTGCACAGGAGGAACCTGTGATTTTAGGGAACCTAACTGCTTTCCAGTATCGTATCACTAAGCTATATGCCTCTTTTTTGCTGCTCTTATTTAAATCCATGGAGCTAGTCTATCTCTTTGGTCCTTCAGGAGAAGTCCTACCCCAGGCCTGCCACTGCTTTGTCCTAAGGACCTGCATATGGACTCCACAGGGCGAGAAAGTTTGCTTGCTAACATTTTTGGGCTTGTTCTACAAATTGGTGACAATTTTTTTCTTGTTTTTCCTGATTCTCCAGGGCTTATCCACTGCGATGGGCAAGAGGAAGACCACCAGGATGTCCCTGCTCCAAGCAGACTCTCCAAGCACTATGGCAACTGGAGACAATCTTCTCATCTGAATCTCCTCTCCATTCCATGTTGGCAGCAGGGCTGATTTTCCTCACTGCTATCTCTCAGTCCCAGGTTGTGTAAAAATATATTCACTGTTTCTTCTCCTCCTGCAGACTGACCTGCCAGAACAGAGCTCAACACGTAGCAGCCTTAGGAAGCTGCACAATCTGAGGGGCTCACTCCAAAGCCAAGGCCCTCTGCTCCTCTCCAGTTTTGGAGAAAGAGCTCTTCACACAAGAGGAAGTTACATTACTGAGCAACATCTCAGGCTCTAGCCAAAGTTTGGGATCGGGAGTAACATCCTCAAGATCTGGAGCAGGACAAGACTGCAACACTGATTTAGATACAAGCGCTGGACTCAAACTTGGTACCCCACAAGAGCTGCAGCTCCCGTTTCTCCTTTGAACTGGGCATCCCCAAGGGCTTCACAGATGGATGCCAAGTAGAGCTTCACTGGCCAATGGCCACTGGCCATTACCCCAGCCTCCAGCAAACTCTGCCAGCAATGGCACTGCCGTATATTGTTTAGGGCATGAGATGCTATTTGCGTGGATGGCAAGCTCAGTGAAAGACTCTTACTCTGCATGGTTGCATCTCATCCTGCTCCTCCACAAGCTGGGAACCAGGCTGAAGAGATCCCCCTTGCTCACCAAGCAGCTCCCCTGCTGCCAAATCCCAAATCCTGTCCCTCTCCCCTCCTGAACAAACCGGCATACTCTGAGCCATTGGATCCTTCCTCCATGCATGGAAAACCTTGTCTAGCCACTCCACCATGCCCCATGGTAGCCCTGCCCTCTCAGTCCCCGAAAGGCAAAGCTGAACTGTCAACATATCTTAACCGACCCTGTGCTTGTAGGTCCAAACCATGTCCCAGCCAGGTCTAGGGACACTGAGCACACTTAAAACTGACTCATGGCTGGGTCATCCCACCCTCTATTGCAGAAACTGGGGCATCCTACCAGGGCTGGAGGGAATAAGATCCCATATGTTTCCTTCAAGTTACTAAATGTAGGACTTTGGAAATCAGCTGCAGAGTCTCCTCTGCTCTTCACGGCATAAAGAGATCAAAGACACAGTGGTCATGTCCTGCTAATAGATGTTACCAGCTCAATGCTGCAACTGCCACGTTGTCATAGCTACCACACTGTCATTACCAGGCACGATTTATAGAGACAGTGTCGCAGCAGACA